TGCCAGGCAGCGATTCCAGCCAATGCCTAGCAACGCCAAGCAATACTTTGCATTGCACTGCTCAGAACTATGTTGAGCTGCTTCGGGAGAAAGGGGCCCCCTGATTTGGGTCTTGCCAGGTCCATGTTAGTTCCACTTCTCGCGGAGGAAATATCAAGCCCCCCCCAACCCACCGAGGCCGACGTGCGTTCACTTTCCGGACCAAGTCCATGCATTGTCTTGTCTTCTTTGCAGAAGTGGTGCCAACCTCAAGACTGCGGGTGGGGCTTTCTACGGCATCCGCCCACTCCGAGTACCTCCCCCATTCCGCAGGCATCCCCGAATCGGCGTGGCAACGCAACTGCATAGGAATGCAGATGCATGCGCGTGTCTGTTGTGTGTGTTGTGTGTGTGTGTGTGTTGTGTGTGTGTGTGTGTTCGTGTGTGAGTGTGTGTGTGTGGGTGGGGGCGTGTGTGTGTGTGTGTGTGTGTATGTGTGTGTAGGCGTGTGCATGTGTGTGCGTGTATGTTTGTGTACGTGTACTTGTTTTGTGCGTGTGCCCACCGCCATCCCAGCTGCATCGTGGTCATGCGGCACGTGGCCGGTTGAGACCCTCTGCATGAACTGGCTCGTGGACTCGTCGTGGCGTCGCCGCTGCGGATCGCCAGGTGGGTTCCTGAGGGGCACACAATTGCGACTTGACTGCCGTTGGCTTGAACAAGCCCTTGCTGGCCATGACCTCGACAGTGAGAATCCTCGGGCGGGAATCTCTCCGACGGGGTGTAGACGTGAAGGGCATTCCTGTGTGAGGGGGGCGCGTGCGGGGGAAGAGGAGAGGGGAGAGGGGAGGGGGGGAGGGGGGAACGGCAAGCTAGGTGCGCTCTTGAAAGGTGGCCCCCGCTGGGGCGAGAGCGTCATTCTAAAGGACGGAGGACGGGAGCAAAGCGCCGATCCGAAGATGAAGCCCACGCTGCAGCGGAAAACCATTTTGAAACACCGGGAACAACCGGATTACAAAAATCAAATGAAAAACAACTGTTAAAATCCGGTGTGAAAAACAGCACGCGGAGCGGGCGGGAGATCTTCCAGACAACTTCAGGGTAGGATGGAGAGTAGCATAGATACAGTTTGCTTGTAAACGGACGAGGATCCCTTTGATTTACTTTGGAGGTCAGGGGCGTGACAGCTTCTGTGAGACAACCTCCGATGGCACATCGTATTTCCTTCTGTTCGTGTCGTGTGCGACGTGGTTGCGAAGCGGGGGGTCCCGAGTCAGAATACCATCCCCTGGGGGGTCCCAGGGCCCAAGAGGCCCCCCAGAGGCCCCCGCGAGGCCCCCAGGCGCCCCCAAGGAACTGCAAGGGAGCCCCAGGGGAGGCTCCCACAAGGCTCCCCATACCCCCCCAAAACTTCGTGGGGGTTCTCGGGCACCTCTTGGGGGCTTCGTGTAGCCTCTTGGGCACTCTTTGGAGCGTCTGATCCCGACCTTGCCGAAAGCCTCTTCCATCGTGGTGGTCGTCGTCCAGGGTCGGCGGCACCGGCCGTAAGGCCTTAGCAATCGTACTTCCATATGTTCGTGTCGTGCGCGACGTGGTTGCGAAACTGTGCTGCGCAGGTGCCGACGGACCTCGGCCCGTTTTGACACGAAGCGGACTCCTCGTGCTGCCAATGGGCGGCACTCTACGACAACAGGACCTCTACGAACAATGCACAGAGGCGGGACCCTTTGGGGGGTCCCTCAGTCGAATCCACCGGGGCCCCATGGCGGGAGTTCGTGCCAACCACCGCAGGACCCCCCCACGGACAAAGCAGCTGTGGCCGGCACCCTTCGACAGCCACGGCCGGACCCCCACGGACAGCGCACGGATGCGGGACCCCGCTGGGCGGGACCCTGCGGACCCCATGGGTGGCACCCTGAGCCTATGCAGAACCTCCGCTGACAGGGCCGGGCCCCGTGCCCCGTACCAACCACCGCAGGACACCAGCGGGCGAGGCTCGGGGGGTGCTGCAGGACCTCCACTGCTGGGTCGAGTGCGGACGGGGCCCTCTGGGCGAGACAGATTGTGCAACCGCGGCCAGGCCCGACCAAGCAAGCCCAAGTTTTTGCACAACAAGTCAGGTCCCCCATTAGACACCATGCCACATCTACTGCCAGTGGCATGGCTAGCTCAACAACCAAAGCTGAAGTTCTAGGCTCAGCGAAAAGCTGGAGGTAGGGTGTACCGTTGCGTCCCGTCAGAGTGGCACTGCGAAACAGTATCCTACAATGATGTCCCGCGGTGCACGTTGGTGTCATGTGGTGGCGCGTGGCGCCGATAAAGAGAAACCCGTTCTACCGAATTAACTTGAACACAACAATACAGCCAACATGTGAAGCTCCAGCTAACTGGCAACTAAATTTGATGGCATAGTTATCACGTGTATTCCTTTTATGATGTCGCCCAAACTAGCGCCAATGCGCCTTGGCTTGTAGCAGTGCAGTGCCCCTGGTGGTACCCAGCGTCGCAACACGGTTTAAGTTGAAATAGAAGCTCAAGCAGAGACTTAAATACTCAGCTAAGCTAAGCGCAAAGCTGAATGCAATGGTAAACCTAAAAGCTGGAAGCTAGTCGCTCAAAGCTACAACACGTGCTGAACGTGAAAACTACAAATCGCTACCATCGAGCCAAAGCCATCGCTACTGCACTGGATGGAACTACGAACACGGTTTTCAACATCGAAAGCGGACCACAACACGCAGAAACCATACACGAGATTCACGCCACTCCTACGTTCTTTATTGGTCACAACATGGCCTATTGAATCGCTGTGTGTTCTTCTTCTCGCGCAAAGGTGTGTGTGTGTGTGCGTGTATGCCTTCTCTATGCGCAAACATGTGAACTCAGGGGGGAGGGGGGCGGGCATTCTGGAGGCCACCAGCCAAGCCTGTCCATGAACTCCCTCAGCATCTTGTCCTCCAGCCCATGGCGGGATGATGGTGAAATGTACTGCCCCGCGTCGATGCCGTGATGAAGCTGCTCGCTGGCCCTCCCGAAGACAGGAGCTCGTGCAAGCTGCAGCTGCTGTTGCTGCTGCATCTGAATCTGGTTCAACTGCTGCATCATCTGGAGTTGTGTCTGCTGCTGCTGCGCAAGCAGCTGGCCCTGCTGCTGCTGCTGGCCTATCAGGGCAGCTGTCTCTCCACTGAGTTGCTGCTGCCTTGAAGGGTCCGGAACCAGCACACCCGTGCCCATGGGTGCTGGTTGGGACTGCTCAAACGAAGTCAATATCGGGGTCGGGGTCGGCCGCTGCCGGGTGGGGCTGTGCTGTCCAGGCGCGCTCGCTGTGGCGCCGACGCCGTACTGCTGCGGAGCAGGCTGCGCAGGGTGGGCCGCGGTCGGCTGCGCCGCATCCTGCGCTGCATAAGGCGCCGTGAAGCCGTGGAAAGACGTCCCACCCATGTGGGGCTGCGGAGGTGCTGCTCCTGCCCCCAGGCAAGCAGCCTGCGGATGCTGCGGGTTCGCCGCCACTGGCGCCAGCGGCGCGCCGGCGCCTGCCGCCCCGACGCCCTGCGGCTGTGCAGCAGGAGGCGGACCCATGATGCTGCTCAGGACGCTGTCGTCGCTTCTGGCCACCTGCTGATGGATGCCAGGGGCCACTGCTCCGGCAACCACGTGCACGGCACCCGCTGCTGCACCCGCGGGGTGGGCGTACCGAGCCGGCCCTCCGTGAGCGGGGGCGCCTGTGGCCCCCGAGCTGCCGCCGAGCTGCTGCGCGGGAGCGGCCGCGGGCGCCGAGTGGGAGTACTGAGGTGCCATGCCCTGCGGAGCAGCGGAGAAGCCGGCCATCGGCCCCGTGGACGTCGCCGGCGTCGCGCCCACACTGGTTGCGAAGCCGGCGGCCCCGTAGCCGGGCGCCTGGGGTGCTGCTGCGGCGCCGAAGGTGCTCGGCGCCGCGGTGCCATAGCCGGGCGCCTGTGGTGCCGCCGCGGCGCCGAACGCGGACGGGGGCGCGGCCCCTGGAGCGGCAGCGTAGCCAGGAGCCGCCCCTGCCGCCGCAGCCTGGGGCGACGGAGGCCGCACGGCTCCTCCGAGGATGCCGGCCAGGACCCCCTCGTCGTGGCTGGCCTGTGCGCCCGCCTGCGGCGGAGGGGTGTAATATCCTTGCGCCGGCTGCGCAGCGGCGCCCGGGAACGCCCCCGCAGCCGAGCTGCCGGTGCTGCCAGCAACGCCCGTGGCGGAGGCATAGCCGTGCACCGGCGGGGCTGCGGCTGCCGCTGGCAGGCTGGTCGAGCTCGCTATCGAACTCAACACGGTGGACCTTCTCTGTGCTCCTCCTCCTCCTCCTCCTCCTCCTCCTCCTCCTCCTCCTCCTCCTCCTCCTCATGCAGCTGCAGCGCCTCCTGGTGTTCCTCCTCCTCCTCCTCCTCCTCCTGCTCCTGCTGCTGCTGCTGCTGCTCCTCCTGTCCTCTCTTTTTTCCTTCTCCTCCTCGTGCTAACATCCTCCTCCTCCTCCTCCTCCTCCTCCTCCTCCTCCGCCTCTCTAAGGGTCATGGCTGGGCCGGCGATCCGCCCTGGTGATCGGGATCGCGGCATCGCAGCGGGGACCGCAACTGGCCGAGACGTTGGAGGGCGGGGCGAGGCAGGAGGAGGGGAGGCCACAGAGGAGGGGGGAGCAGAACAGCCATCCTGTCAACGCGACGGCAACTGGAAACTGGAAGTGTTGAATAATCAGGGAGCTCTGCTGAGCTCTGCAAGTGAGGATACGTTGGAGGGCAGGGCAAGGCAGGAGGAGGGGAGGCCACAGAGGAGGGGGGAGCAAAACAGTCATCCTGTCAACGCGACGGCAACTGGCAACTGGAAGTGTTGGAATAGTCAGGGAGCTCTGCAAGTGAGGATGCGGGCTCTTGCCGCTGATTTGGCCGAAAGTCGCATCCAGCAGGCTCTTCTTGTTTTTCTTGTTGTTCGTATTGTTATTGTTATTGTTTTTCTTCTTATTCTTATTCTTATTATTCTTCTTCTTCTTCTTCTTCTTCTTTTTCTTCTTCTTCTTCTCTCTCTCTCTCTTTTGAGCCCCAGCGCAGCTCGGTCTCAAGACGCCGCTCCTGCCGGAACCCAGGGCCGATGGTCAGAGTCGGCAGGGGGGCGGCATCGTGCACCGAGGTGCAAGCTGGTGTCAAGATCACGCACGGCCCGCCTCGCGTGCGGTCTGGCTGCTGGCCAGCAACCGTGCTGATCGAGACGCCGCGCACCCAAAAGCGCGTATACGGTGCGGTGCAGCGCGCCTCCCCGAGTGCTCCTCGTGCGCCCAGGGCTGCCTCTTCCCCGCCTCTCTGGCAAAGGCAGGATGCACCTCGTATGTACAGATAGTCAGTCGCTCGGGATGACCTCGCGCTGTGTCTCACACCCTGGGGGTCATGAGGCATGACCATGCATGCGAACAACACACACGCACTGCGCTACTAGCGCTGTGCGACAAAGGCAAGTGGAGTGAACTCCAATGACAGGTTAGATCAGACCTCACCTACAAAGATCAGACAACCACCGCATTCTCGTGCGAGCCGCCCATGGCAATACCCCTCTGCAGCTCGGACGCGAAGAACTCCGCCAGGTCGTCCGCCACGCAACGTGCCTCGTCAGACTTTGGAATATTGTGTTGGTAGCGCCCATTCTCGACATATCTGATCTTCTCAGGGTGGAACTGGACCGCGTAAAAAGGCAGGCGCTTCCCTTGAATCATGGCCACGTATGGTCGCCCTGTTCGATCCCTGCTAGTGGCGAGAATATCGAACTCCGCCGTGAGGCCAGGAGACTGCATGAAGCGCTCGGGCTCGATCCCGTTGACGTGGTCCTCGTACGTGACGTTGTCGTGGGTCATCCATCTCAGCACCGAGACGTTCGCGAAGGCCAGCATGCGTCTCCGTTCCGAGACTTGCGTCAAGCTGATGTCCATGCGCTCGTCCACGGCGTCGAACCCGGACTGTAGAGCGGCGTCGCCGCCGAACACCTGCACGATCCACTCGAAGCCCAGGCATGTGCCCCACACGGGCCAGTACTCGCCCTCGCTGTTGGCCTTGACGGCTCGCAGAAGCAGTCCCCGTGCCAGTGCGGAGACGTTGCCGACTCCACCTGGGATCAGCATGCCGTTCAGCCTCGCCCACCGATCCGTGGAGTTCGATCCTGGGGACGATGGCAGAGGCCACCTCTTGCTGAAGACGTCGTCTGCGTCGCCTTCGGCCGGGAGCACCACGGTGCGGACCCCGAACTGCTCCACCCACTTCTGGTAAGCGGCCAGATATAGGGGAAGAAAAAATGACATGAACATAAAACCTCGGAGGTCCGCGCGGATTTCTCGGATGGGCGCTGGACCCCCCTCCCTGGCGCGCGGAGCGCGCCAGGGGCGGCGCCGGATGCGCCGCCGGGGGGCCCCAGCGCCGATCCGAGAAATCCGCGCGGACCTCCGAGTTGTTATGTTTATGTCACTTCTTGTTCCCCTGAGATACCCGGGGTCCTGAAGCGTCGGGAAGATGCCCACCAGGGGCGTGGAGATGCTTGGCGCGAAAGGCTGGCTGCCTGCGGTGCAGCAGACCCTCCAGGCCAGCAGCGCCAGCGCCAGCGGCCGCGGGCGCCGCGGGGCCGCCATATGCAGGCGCCGGCAACGGGCCCGGGGGGGCCGGCGAGCACGACGCGGCTGCAAGGCTTGAGCCAAAACGGCTACAGGGCAGCTTTTAATACATAGGATCATAAAAAACTATATATATATATATATGATTTGTAATGCATGATTAATGTATGAATGAGTGTATGCATGAACCCATCGTTGTTTTTAATGGTAAATCCCTGCATTTTAGTACATGATCCGCACGCGGAGCATGTATAAAAAAATGGCACTGTACGGAATCCAGCAGCCTCTTCTCGGGAGCGGGTTCCCGTGATTGAGAGCTGCGGGGTTGGCCCGCCTCAAGGGGAGGCCAATGGATGACTCCTTGAGTGCGTTTCAGTACGGGAGCCCTGAGCAGGCAGAAGAACTGGGGTGAGGGAGAGGGCGAGGGAGAAGAGGAGGAGGAGGAGGAGGAGGAGGAGAAGCAGGAGGAGGAGGAGGAGCAGGAGCAGGAGGAGCAGGAGGAGCAGGAGCAGGATCAGGACCCAGCGTACCAGAGAGGTCAGCTGTCGAGCAGGACTAGCGCCGCATGACAGCAGGCACTGCAGATGGTCCGCTGCCGTCAGACGCCCATGTCATGCATCATAGAGATCGATAAGCTGCTCGGACGGACGGCCGACGACACTACGCTGGCAGAGACTCGAGCGGCGTGGTCCTTCAGCGCGTGGTACGCCTTCATCAGCACGAATACGATTCGCAAACCATCCCGAGCAATCCAAAAACACCCAGGAGACGAAGCGGATCTCGGTGACGAGGTAAACAAAGGATGGCTAATCTTGGGTTCACGATCTTGGAGCAACCCTGGCAATGTAGGAATGCGTCGGCATCCGCAATGAAACCAGGGTCGCCGCAGAAAATGCATGGCCATAAGCCGTCGCGGTTGCTCCGAACACGCTGAGCGTTCCCGAAGCCTGCCTTGCAGCTCGCCGTCGGCGCTGCCCGGGCACCGTCGGTTCCTGTGGGCTCGGAGTCTCGTCCTCAACGAGCGGCGGCTGCAACCCGTGCCCCTCCCGACCGACTGCACGAACTATTGCAACAGCGGTCTGGGAAGTTGTGTCCACGTCGTGCCGACGATGTCGCTGTAGTGGATTGGCAGAAACATCGTGCTGTGCTGCGGACTGCCCCCCCCAACACACACATGTGTCGCTCTTTATGGCCTTTGTCCGTTCGATGGCAAATGCACGGATGACGTCTCGTCGGATTCCGCACCGCGACGGCTTGCGGGTAGGTCGGGCATGTCATGTCTCCCTACAGGCGGATTTGGAGGACACATCAAAAATAGCCGAGCAAAACTCGAACATAGTCAAGCACAGCATAACATGTTTTCAGTGCATTGGAGGTCTGGGGCAGAGGAGGAGGAGGAGGAGGGAGGAGGAGGAGGGAGGAGGAGGAGGGAGGAGGAGGAGGAGGAGGAGGAGGAGGAGGGAGGAGGGGGAGGAGGAAGGCGGATGGGGGAGGAGGGGAGGACAACCATGGCGAGGGACCTCCATGAGCCTGGCAAAGGGACCCAGACCATCTGCAGTTGTGAGCACCGCAGCTCTGACAGTCGCTGTCGGCGGAGGGCCCCCCCATCTCGGGGCCGGAAGACGCGTGGAGGCGGGTGCGCGCTCGGGCGTGGGCACGCCACGCGGGCTGTGCCGCTGGGGCCTTCGGTGGACCTCCCTACCCAGACCCCCTCGAGTTATGAAAAAATCGCGACAGGAGGTTTTTCACTGTTTTGGCCTCTGGGGGCCCCTACCGGCCCTCGGGACCGTCAAAAAACGACTCAGGACGAAAAACCGGTCCCGGGGAATGGGTCGAGACCTCGGGGGGTCGACGTCATGAAAAAATCATAACGTCGGGGGTCTGGGTATGGGGCCACGACTTGTTTCTCCCCCTCGCGAACACGACGACAGCAACGGGCACGCCCAGCTGAAGCCTGGGGCCCCGGCCGGATTGCACCGGAGCGATCTCGGGGACTTCACGCGGCTGCGCGCGCCGGCGGTGCCCACGCACCCCATGGGGCCACGAAGCGCCACATCGGATGCGAGTGCGCCGTGCGGCCTGTGCCACCAGGGTAGGCCTTCGGTGGACCTCCCTATGGGGCCACGAAGCGTGTGTGGGGGGGTGCCAAATCGTGCGCGGGTGCGCCATGCGGACTGGGCCACTGGGGCCTCTGGTGGACCTCCCTATGGGGCCACGAAACGTGTGTGTGGGGGGGGGGCCAAATCGGATGCGGGTACGCCATGCGGACTGTGGCACTGGGGCCTTTCGGTGGAGCTCCCTATGGGGCCACGAAACGTGTTGGGGGTGTGCAGGGATGGGAGAGGAAGGAGGGGGGGGAAGCGGAGGAGGAAGAGGAGGAGGAGGAGGAGGAGGAGGAGGAGGAGCAGGAGGAGGAGGAGCAGGAGGAGGAGGAGCAGGAGCAGGAGCAGGAGGAGGAGGAGCAGGAGGAAGCGGAGGAGGAGAAGGAGGAGGAGGAGGAGGAGGAGGAGGAGGAGCGAACGTCCACTGGCGGACGTCTGCTTCAGCTCTACGGGCGGCGGGTGGGGGCACTGGGCGCCGCCCGCGGCACGTCTGTAATGTGATGAGGCCGCCGAGGCGCGGCGGCAGAGTGGCGCTGGCCAGCGCCGCCCGTGAGGTCAGGCGGCAACCTCAGCGCGTGACGAGCGACCGTGAAGAAGTTCACGGTCTTGGAGTAGGACAGCACGCCCTCGGTTGCGGCCTCCTGGGACATGTGATAGGCGCGGCACGAGACCGCGAGGCGGGCGGCGGCGCTCCTGATGCCGTTCTCCCCGTCGTAGGGCTGCTCCGCGCCGCCCAATCCCATGCGGCGAAGTAGTTCTGGGGCCAGCTGTCCTCGTGGAAGTGCAGCGTGATGCATGAGTCGAGGGCATCTGAGGTAGTGATCGATGGCGTCCTTTTTTGTTGCAGCCGAAGTGGCAGCTCCTCTTGGTGTGCAGGACATGCATCCTGTACGATGTCGTCCCTCCACCGCTGAGGGTCTTCATCGCTGCCCACAGTCTTGCTGGAGGTAGTTCTGCCAGGTGGGTCCTCAGTCGTAGCCAACGCTCCTTCATGTCGGACGGGAGGGTGTTCGCGCAGATGAGGTCGTCGGGGTCGTCCGTCTCCATGTCATCGGGGGGGTCAGGCTCGCCAGGCAGAGCAGGGTCGGGATGCACGTCACGTAGTGCATCAACCCATCGACGGCGGGCTCGATGTTCTGCAGCCAGCTCAGCTTCATGACGGGATGCTTCCCGAAGGTCTTCGGCACGGGGGCCAGGATTGCCCAGCAAGCGGAGCTCCAGCAGGCGGCGGCCGAAGGCGCCGTCCTCCCAAGCTTGGCGACACATCGCCCTCGCAATGGAGAACCTCTGATTGTCGGACTGGTACAGCGGGCGAAGTTCGTCTCTAAGAAGCACGCTTGCCACGTAGTTCTCGCACCAGCTCTGCCAGTCGGCCTGGTTGTCAAAGCCCCGCTGGTTGAGGAAGATGTCGGGGAGCCAGCGCGCAGCCCATGCGGCGGCTCTTCGTTGAAGGCGGTCCTGAACGTCTTCAGCTTCCGCCAGAGCTTCATGACGTGGTCGGCGAGCGTGTTGTCGTCCAAAGTTGGCGGGGTACCAGGCTGAGAGGCGGCGCGTGATCGTGATGTGCATGGTGTCGTTGTACAGCTTCTCTTGTAGGGCGAGCTGGTAGGCCTTCTGCGGTGTGCGCTTCCTCCAGCGCGGTGCATCATCACCATCACGTTGAGCAAGCATAGCGTCCCGGCGCCCATGCACGTTGGGCAACAGT